ATCTGCCTGTTCTGCTCCCCACTATGTCTCTGGTGAAGCCTCTCACCGCCCCAATAAATAAGTCTTTAAAAAAAATAATAATAAGTATCTGGAACTTGGAGGAATCATTGTACTCACTCTCTAGTAATATAACTCGCATGGAGCAAAACTGGACGTTGGTCCCCATCCTCTGCCTTCGGAGATTCTACTTGTTAGAACTCTGCAATAATGCCGTAGGGCAAAGCATACTGACTGGCAGGCAGAGAAAAAGACTCTCATGCACAGCGCCACTACGCCCTTTTATTTCTTGTGCACGTTTTGTTCATAACACGGATTTAAAGAATATACTGAATTAATTGACTAAAACATTTTTCAACGTTGTGAAAGGCCTAAGTAACTACAGACGCGCTATGGCTTACTATCCAAAGAAAACAAAAGCCGCGCTCTCCTGCATTTCCTTCTTAAGAACTAATACAGAAACACCATTTGGCAGCCATGATAGTACGTATTGATGCTAGAGTCCCTGGGCAAAAGTTTGAAGATTAATAGGGTATTTGCACAGACTGGAAACACCTCCCTTAAGATATTCATTAGTTACAAAAGTAAAGCCTAAGTTTATAATGGGCCGCCCGGTCAGCACTACTTTAACTGAAGAATCAAGTCTAATGATGAGCAGCCAGCGGCCTGATGCTCCTGTGTCCAGGTACCATGTCTGACACGATGCTCTGAGAAGAATGCAGAATGAGTTCTGTAGGATTCACGCAAAAAAATGAATTATGCCAATGTAATCACCAGAAAACAGCTTTATCTACCCAAAGCGAGGGCTATTCTACAAAATCACTGTGGAGGACTCTTGAAAAGCCTTAGAAAAGAAGACCGAGGGGCTCTCCCAGACTGAAGGACTTAGAGAAACTAAATACCACACAGGATTCCTCACTGGATCCTAGAGAAGAGAAGGGAGATTAGTGGACTCGGTGGTGAAAGTCCACGAAGATGTATAGTTTGGTTCATGGTTTAGAATGCTGTATTAT